CATACTCAATTTTAGAGCAGTTTCATCTCAAGTAGGAACCTTGTACCCTTTAGCTGTCATCTCTTTTCTCCCCCCAACTCTCCATCAGCCAACAACCACTAATTCTCTGTTGCATAGATTTTTCCTGTAGACATTTTGTATATGTGCCATGATACAATATGTGGCATTTGGTTACTGGATTCTTTAACTTAATGTGTTTTAGAGGTTCATCCGTATCTAGCATATGTACTGATGTCATTTTTGTGTTTGAATAATATCCCATTGTATGATTCTATCACACTTCGTTAAATCTGTAAGTTGGATGTTTGGGATGTTTCTATCTTTTGGTTATGCTAAACAATGCTGCTATAAAAATTTATGTACAAGTTTTTATGTGTATATGTGCTTTCTTTCCTAGGACTAGAATTTTTAGGTTGTACCATAATTCTTATGTTTATTCATTTGAGAAATTCAGTTTATTTTCCAAAGCAGCTGCATGGTTTTATATTCCCAACAGTGTCTTAAGGTTCCAGTTCCTCCACATCCAGGTTGACACTTGTTTTGTTGTTGCTGTTTAGTGAAAGTGATAGTTAAGTTTATTAGAAAAGGAATACATGTTTAATAGACTGCAAGCAGATAGTCTCTAGAGTGAGAAAGAGAACCACTTTTTAATTGTACTCATTTTGTGAGTATGAAGTGGTATCTCTGTAGTTTTTATTTACCTTTCCCTACAGACTCTTAGCAGTCATTGTTGTGCTTATCGATCATTTGTGTTTTCCTCAAATGGTTATTCAAATCCTTTTTCTATTTTTAAATTGAATTGTCTTATTTTTTTTTTTTCATTTTTCTTTTATTATTCATATGTGCATACAAGGCTTGGGTCATTTCTCCCCCCTGCCCGCACCCCCTCCCTTACCACCCACTCCGCCCCCTCCCTCTCCCCCCCACCCCCTCAATACCCAGCAGAAAATTTTGCCCTTGTTTCTAATTTTGTTGCAGAGAGAGTATAAGCAATAATAGGAAGGAACAAGGGTTTTTGCTGGTAGAGATAAGGATAGCTATACAGGGCATTGACTCACATTGATTTCCTGTGCGTGGGTGTTACCTTCTAGGTTAATTCTTTTTGATCTAACCTTTTCTCTAGTACCTGTTCCCCCTTTTCCTATTGGCCTCAGTTGCTTTAAGGTATCTGCTTTAGTTTCTCTGCGTTAAGGGCAACAAATGCTAGCTAATTTTTTAGGTGTCTTACCTATCCTCACCCCTCCCTTGTGTGCTCTCGCTTTTATCATGTGCTCAAGTCCAATCCCTTGTTGTGTTTGCCCTTGATCTAATGTCCACATATGAGGGAGAACATACGATTTTTGGTCTTTTGGGCCAGGCTAACCTCACTCAGAATGATGTTCTCCAATTCCATCCATTTACCAGCGAATGATAACATTTCGTTCTTCTTCATGGCTGCATAAAATTCCATTGTGTATAGATACCACATTTTCTTAATCCATTCGTCAGTGGTGGGGCATCTTGGCTGTTTCCATAACTTGGCTATTGTGAATAGTGCCGCAATAAACATGGGTGTGCAGGTGCCTCTGGAGTAACAGTCTTTTGGGTATATCCCCAAGAGTGGTATTGCTGGATCAAATGGTAGATCGATGTCAGCTTTTTAAGTAGCCTCCAAATTTTTTTCCAGAGTGGTTGTACTAGTCTACATTCCCACCAACAGTGTAAGAGGGTTCCTTTTTCCCCGCATCCTCGCCAACACCTGTTGGTGGTGTTGCTGATGGCTATTCTAACAGGGGTGAGGTGGAATCTTAGTGTGTTTTAATTTGCATTTCCTTTATTGCTAGAGATGGTGAGCATTTTTTCATGTGTTTTTGGCCATTTGAATTTCTTCTTTTGAGAAAGTTCTGTTTAGTTCACTTGCCCATTTCTTTATTGGTTCATTAGTTTTGGGAGAATTTAGTTTTTTAAGTTCCCTATATATTCTGGTTATCAGTCCTTTGTCTGATGTATAGTTGGCAAATATTTTCTCCCACTCTGTGGGTGTTCTCTTCAGTTTAGAGACCATTTCTTTTGATGAACAGAAGCTTTTTAGTTTTATGAGGTCCCATTTATCTATGCTATCTCTTAGTTGCTGTGCTGCTGGGGTTTCATTGAGAAAGTTCTTACCTATACCTACTAACTCCAGAGTATTTCCTACTCTTTCCTGTATCAACTTAGAGTTTGGGGTCTGATATTAAGATCCTTGATCCATTTTGAGTTAATCTTGGTATAGGGTGATATACATGGATCTAGTTTCAGTTTTTTGCAGACTGCTAACCAGTTTTCCCAGCAGTTTTTGTTGAAGAGGCTGCTATTTCTCCATCGTATATTTTTAGCTCCTTTGTCAAAGATAAGTTGTTATAGTTGTGTGGCTTCATATCTGGGTCCTCTATTCTGTTCCACTGGTCTTCATGTCTGTTTTTGTGCCAGTACCATGCTGTTTTTATTGTTATTGCTTTGTAATATAGTTTGAAGTCAGGTATTGTGATACCTCCTGCATTGTTCTTTTGACTGAGTATTGCCTTGGCTATTCGTGGCCTCTTGTGTTTCCATATAAATTTAACAGTAGATTTTTCAATCTCTTTAATGAATGTCATTGGAATTTTGATGGGAATTGCATTAAACATGTAGATTACTTTTGGGAGTATCGACATTTTTACTATGTTGATTCTACCAATCCATGAGCATGGGAGATCTCTCCACTTTCTATAGTCTTCCTCAATCTCTTTCTTCAGAAGTGTATAGTTTTCCTTGTAGAGGTCTTTCACATCTTTTGTTAGGTTTACACCTAGGTATTTGATTTTTTTGAGGCTATTGTAAATGGAATTGTTTTCATACATTCTTTTTCAGTTTGCTCATTGTTAGTGTATAGAAATGCTAATGATTTTTCTATGTTGATTTTATATCCTGCTACCTTGCTATAGCTATTGATGATGTCTAGAAGCTTCTGAGTAGAGTTTTTTGGGTCTTTAAGGTATAGGATCATGTCATCTGCAAATAGGGATATTTTGACAGTTTCTTTACCTATTTGTATTCCTTTTATTCCTTCTTCTTGCCTAATTGCTCTGGCTAGGAATTCCAGTACTATGTTGAATAGGAGTGGAGATAGTGGGCATCCTTGTCTGGTTCCTGATTTTAGAGGGAATGGTTTTAGTTTTTCTCCATTAAGTATAATGCTGGCTGTAGGTTTGTCATATATAGCTTTTATAATGTTGAGGTACTTTCCTTCTATTCCTAGTTTTCTTAGAGCTTTTATCATGAAATGATGTTGGATCTTATCAAAGGCTTTTTCTGCATCTATTGAGATGATCAAGTGGTTTTTGTCTTTGCTTCTGTTAATGTGGTTTATTACGTTTATTGATTTTCGTATGTTGAACCACCCCTGCATCCCTGGGATGAAGCCTATTTGGTCGTGGTGAATAATCTTTTTGATGTGTTGTTGAATTCGGTTTGCCATTATTTTGTTGAAGATTTTTGCATCAATGTTCATTAAGGAGATTGGCCTATAGTTCTCCTTTTTGGAGGTGTCTTTGCCTGATTTTGGGATAAGTGTAATACTGGCTTCATAAAATGTGTTTGGCAGTTTTCCTTCCCTTTCTATTTCGTGGAACAGCTTAAGGAGGGTTGGTATCAGTTCTTCTTTAAAGGTCTGATAGAATTCAGCAGAGAATCCATCAGGTCCTGGCCTTTTCTTTTTGGGGAGACTCTTGATTGCTGCTTCAATTTCATTTTGTGTTATAGGTCTATTCAGGTGATTAATTTCGTTTTGGTTCAGTTTTGGATGATCATATGTATCTAGAAATCTGTCCATTTCTTTTAGATTTTCAAATTTATTTGAATATAGGTTCTCAAAGTGAATTGTCTTATTTAAATATTAAGAGTTCTTTACATATTCTGGGAACAAGTGTGTGATCAGATACATAATTTTTAAATAGTATCTCCTGTGAGTTGCTTTTACTCTTTTTCGTTTGTTTTTGAGACAGGATCTTGCTTATAGTTCAGTCTATCCTCAGCAATCCTCCCGCTCCAGCCTCTCTAGTGCTGGAATTACAGTTGTGCACCAACATGCCTGGTTACTTTTACTTTCTTGATAGTGTTTAATTTCCGTCAAGTCCAATTCATCATGTTTGTTGATCACACGTTGGATGTCATACCTGGGAACCCTTTCTTTAACCTTTGTTCACAAAGATTTTTCCCTTCAAGTTTAATAATTCTTACGCTTAACTCTGTTAATTTTATATAAGCTGTGATGATTATGCAGAAGTGCTTCAAAATCATTTGCTAAAAAGATGATCAATTCCCTGTTGAATTGTCTGCACTTTTGTCCATACCAGTCGTTAGATTTTTGTGAGCTTTGTTTTGGATGCTTACTCTTTCACACTGCCTTGATTATCACAACTTTACAGTAAGTCTTAAAACTGAATTGCTTGATTCCTTCATATTTACTATTTCTCAAAATTGTTTTGCCTATTTCAGTTTCTTTATCTTTGTCTAACATTCAGAACTAGCCCAATCTGTCTACTAGGAATCTTGCTGGGTTTTGAGTGGAATTCCATGAGTCTTTCAGTCCCTGATCAGTTAGTGTCTCCTTTTGTCCCTGTTTGGATTCAGCCATCAGCATTCTGGATCAACTAGGTTTGCAGATCCTTTACATCTTTGGTTAGATTTATTTCCTACTGTTCATTTTGGGCAGGGGGATTGTAAATGGTATTGTTTTTGAAATGCAGGCTTCCAGGAGCACATGGCCAAATGTATACAATATATTTGCTTTTTGTTTGTTGACCTTGTGTTTTGTGATCTTGCTAAACTCTGTGATTGTTTGTTTTTTAATTTGCTACTGACTCCTTTGGTTTTCTGCATATATCCTAACTAGGATATATGCATCATCCATGCAGCGATGAATTTATTTATTTTTTTATTCATATGTGCATACAAGGCAGTGATGAATTTAAATGACCAAAGTGGTTAGTAAGGCATAAACGCTTTGAACTCAGAGCCTCCTGCTTACAAGGCATGTACTCTACCACCTGAGTCACACCTCCAGCCTCCAAAGTTTTTTAAAAAAATGTACATCAAATACTTTTTTACCTTGTATCTACTGAAAGAAAACAAAGTAGTCACTTTGACAGCTAAACTGTTAAGAGATTTTACTGTTTCTGCTTCCATGTATCTTACTTTAGTGCAAAATTCAAATACACAAGGTAAAGGTAGCTTTTTATCATTTTATTTTATCAAATTGGTAAAATAAATCAGAAAAGAAAGAAACCACCCAGGAAAGAGTTGCATTTCAATTATTTTGTTGAAAGGTATCTTCCTTAGTACCAAACATAATGGGAGTTGATGGGTTACTCGTGCCAACTTAAAATTAATACTGTTGTTTTCAAGATATTGAAATATATCAGCCTTTTGGAGAAACTTAAAGGTATCCATAAAACATGGTTTACAAAAGTTAAGGATAAAATGTGCTGTGGGTCTTTGGTTTATTTTTCAGAGTTCATTTATCTGTAACATGTCAGAATTGGTCACAGTCACTCTGGATGGACTCCAGCTGCACATAACGCTGAATAACTGTCACACACTAACACTGTCCATTTCCTTACACTCACTGGCTGAGACAGAAAATGCTGAACACGTCTTCAGCAATCTCATAATTATGAAGATACCTATGTTTTTTTTGACACACAAAAGGGGCATTTGTGAAAGTGTATTCTCTTCCTTTTAAAACAAAATTCTGTATTAGAAGCAATGGTAACTTTATTAAAACAGTCTGTAATAAAAACTTCTGGAGTGTTTTATCTCGCTTGAACTTACTGTTAGTGGGGGAAAACAAGTTTTTAGAGTGGTAATTTATTTTGTTACAATACAATAGATAGTAATTCTCTCATGGGACCAGAGGCAGTAGATCTTATGTAAAAATTTTATCATGGATCCAAACATCACCTGTTTTGTAGAAGAAATATTAAAGATAATTTAATGAATATGCCAAACTTGTGAGGTTTATATTTATGTATATATAAAACACCTGCAAATTTAACTGTAATTTCTGTGTAGCAGTGAAATCCTCATCTCTGAAATATCAACTTGCTTTATGGGTGCTAGGAAGCCATTTGCTGCCTAGAATATTAACCTTTACTATGCCTTAAAAGTGCCTTGGGAAATGTTGGTTTTGATGTAAACCTCATAATTTAAAATTCTACATTTAAATTATGTTGTTTACCACTTTCACTACAACCTAAATACAGTACATTGATCCAATATAGAGTTAGATCAATGCTAGAAAATGAAGATTCACAGTTTACCTTCTCAGGTTCGTTTCTAGTAGTTCACATTTATGCTTTTAGCTTTGATTTGAATGTTTCACAGATGAATTCAAATCTAAACATACTTCCACTAAGCATAGTGTTAATTAGGTAGGTTTCCCAAGTTTATTTGTGATGTTTTAAGGTTTTAAAACTTATATCCATTGTAACATTAATGAAATCCATAGCTCTCTTCTCAGAGTTTTTTGTTGTTGCTGCAATCATATTAAGTAAACAACAACAAACCAACTACCTAAATACCACTAACTGCTAAGAGTGAATGGTTAATATTTAAGATTCATGTCACATGTAAGTGTGTTAAATGTTAAGAGTTTTGAGCACAAAAAAGATAAAGCACTACTGTGTTAACAAATTTAGATGGCAAGAATGTGTAACGTGTGCAATGACCAAGCTGACATGTTTTATGCATGTAACTGCTTTCTAGGAGCCCAACTGCTACAGCAGTGTTGTGTTACAGTGTGGGACGCCTCGGCACTTTCCAGAAACGTGTGGAGATCCTTTGCCTCATACTACTTTTTCTTTAAGTACAGTACCAAGTTCATAATGATTTTGCTTATGTTAGCAGACTCAAATGAGTTCATATATGGTTCAGACTTTAGTCCTGTTGTACTTCAGCTTGTGTAACTTTAAATGAACTGAAGCGTGTGTCTACATACAGCAAGACGATATGCATTTAAGAAAACACTGTAAAAACTCAGGCTACTTTGAGGAGGATGCTGTTTTCTAGGCTAAGTTAATGAAGAGGTTAACACACACAGCAGAGGTTAGGTAACTCCTTTCTCTCGGCACTGGGCCTCAGATACAGTAAATGATTTCAAATATCAGCTGACGGGATCAGTGAAGTTGTTTTCCCCTTTGCTAGACAAACTCCATTTTGTTTACTTTAAAGATAGTATTTCAATTCTTCAGTTATGGAGGACAATTACATCACCGGAAAGTTTTCTCTACACAGGACAAACATGAAACGCGTCGATTAAGAAACCGTTTCGGGGATTGTTGGAAGGTGAGTTATTCTGTAGTAACTGTGCTTCAACTGCCGTGCCGTCCGCCCAGAAACGATCCACTTCAGCTTCTGGACGTTTGGTTTAGAGCACTTGTTTGATGAATATTCAGTCAAACACTTGCATACAAGCTCTTGCCAGAAGGTCAAATCTCTGCTATTTATCTGTACATAAATTTAAGAATATTAATCAATTAAAAGTCTTACTGCGTTTCCAGTCATAAATGCAATCTTACTAATGTCTTTCTTCAAAAGTACGTGAGGATAGTTACTTAAGTTTCAAATAACCACACAGCACTTCATTTCACTTCAGGAGATAGTGTAAGGGGTTGAGTTTAGTTTACAGCTGTTAACAGGATTTTTGCTATGACCTTGACATACCTTGGAATGTTTCTGAAGACATTCTACTCCTTCTGTTAATTCTATACACTTCTGCGCTTGGACCTCCAAAGCAATGATAGATAATGCCAACACAGAAGGCTGAAAGAGATAAATATAAAGTAAATGTCAAATACAAAATAGGTTTATATAAACAGGCTTAATCTTTATAAAATATTTACCTTTGCTTTAGAAAATATGATCCTGCAGTGACATGCTTTAAGTTGAGCTTCTAGTCTTTCAAAATTCAGGCTATTTCTCCTTTAGAAAGAAAGTGACATGATTTTATTTATTTTTATTATTGTACTGGGGATACACTGACATTTAGAAAAGTTCTTATGTCGTACTTGAATTCACCCCCTCCCTCATTTTCCTTTATCTCCCCTATTCCCATCCCTGGAATAGTATCAACATGTTTTATTCTTCCATTTTCATGTAACATTGATTTTATGTAGATAATATTATATCTAGTTAAGAAATATTTTTAGAAACATTAAAATCAGTTTTAAACTAAAGAAATTTCCCTTCTATTAGAGACATTAACTTCTCAAAGGCACCAAACACAAGTTTTATATGATTTGGGACAAAAAAAAAAAAATCAGTATCGTGTCACAGGTACAAAGGTGTCTGCGTGTTTGTGTGTCACTCGGGATTGGATTCAGGGCTTTGTGCTACTCAAGTGCTCTGCCACTGAGCCGTGCCCTCAGCCCTTTTGCTTTTTAGTTCATTTTTCAGAGATGGTCTCACACTGAATTTGCTGAGCTGGCTTTGTACTGAGTAGCTGGGACCACAGGTGTGGACCACTATGCCCAGCTTGTCTTTAAAAATTTTTTTTGATACCAGGTCTCCCTAACTTTTGCCAGGGCTGGCTTCAAACCACAAACCACAATCCCCTCTCAGCCTTCTAAGTACCTGGGATTACAGATGTACACCACCAGAACTGGCCCTTCAAGATTTCTTTTCAAAAAAATCTATGTCTGCACCTATTGAATCTCTTTTTACTATAAGTTTGTGTTAGATTCTTATCTAGTAGAATCAACCTAGAAAAGTTGAAATGTGATTTAATTCTAAGAATGAGCCTTTATGAAACTACTGACAACTGTGACTTTCTACTTTTGCTAGGCAGTAAAATTCAAGGAGCCACAGCTGTCATTTTCCTAATTTTGATTAAAATTCTATGAGGATATTGATTCTATGCAATATCCAGGAAATATGATTGTTTTCCAAACCTCTTTTGTTCAAAACAAATGTCACATACCTTTCAAACGGCAAGTTCTCCTGAATGAGTGAATAATAGAGTTGCAGAAATTGAAAGGCAGTAGTAGCTTTGACTTTCCAACACACCTTCTCCAAGACAATCTTCTCCATTCTCATCAAGTCTGAAACCGTGAACCTGTACTGACTTATTCGGATCAAGTCAGTTGCCAATGGGACATTCCTTTCCTCTTCTATTGATTTTACAGCCAAATAAAAGCAGCTCAGTCCAACACACCCAAGATGCTTGGGCTGTACCTAAAAAAAGAAAATAACCAAATCAACCATAGGCCTACACTATTGTGAAATTATACCTTTGAGACATATTTCTCAGCTGTCATGGACTTCACATCCACTTTTAACTAAACTGTGGCTTAACCATGTGTACCCCACTTGGAACCATTTTTTGACCAATTGAACCAAGTTTCACTGTGTTGGCTTGCATAAAAAAATTCATACTGTGTTCTTATCACTATAGAAATATAAGCCTCTATTATGTTATAATTTGACTAAATAAACTGGTCAATGACAACTTGAGGACTGAAACATGTAAGGTTTATTTCCAGGACCTTGTATTTTTTTCAGGCTGTTTTCTTTGTAGTGACAGATATGCAAGTTTTTTAATGCTGCTATAGTACAAGCTATTTACTCTGCCTATAATTCATTACCACTCCCATTTATTCATTTTATAAACTTCTACTGTGTAACGTGTAATCACAATTCTATTCAGTCTTTTAAGCTACAGCTCAAATGAAACTTTAAGAAGCATTTACCAGTATCCGTGCTCTCCCCTTGCAACCTTCAGCAGTAAACAGATGCCTCTTTACAGGTGTATTGACTTATGCTATGTGACATTTATTTATGCAGTCATCTCACATTTGACTTTTATAGTTAAGGGACAGCTGTATATTATTCATTTGTGCAAGTTAGAGATTCAAAGGCAGTGCCTACCCATGGTAAGTGTCTAAAGAGTCATTTGATCAATCTATTGAGCAAGTTTTTTGAACCATTCAACAAAGTATTTGTTCCTCCTATACACGAAGCACTAAGAGCTAAAACATGAGTTTCATTCTGAGTGTGACATTCCATTATTCTCTAGTGACCTGAGGTATTACAGGGAAGGCAGACTGTATCTTTAACAGTTAAGTTTAAAGAGCTACACAGATATTTTGTTTATCCAGTATAGGGAAATAACTATGTAAATACTCCTTCATGATACTCCCTTCTCTACTATACACAAAGTCCAGCTGGAAATGTCAAATACCAAAAACAATTAGAACTTTATATATAGGTAGTGATTAAAAAATAAATCCTAATTTTTAACCGCAATCTACCGTCCTGACTTTAACAAACTTCTTTAAATCTAAAAACAATTGTAAATAAATGGAAATATCCAATCTACCAAGGAAAGTTTCTTTTTCTTTTAAACAGCCAGCTTTCCTACTGGAAAACTGCAATTAACAGTTTGATATTAAACTTTTCCATCCCAGAATATATCTAATAAATGATGTAGCACTCTTGATTAAGACAAGGAAACATTAATGCAGTGTGTTTCAGTTACTTGCTGAACATACAAAAGGTCAATTTTATGAATGCCAGCCCAAAGTTAGTAACTACATCTCGAAAATGCACATTGAGCAAAATTACTCAGAGTAATGTAGCTTAACCATACCTTCATCTTAGACAGGAATCTGTCCAGTAAATTCACAGCTAGAGAAAATGTCTCCGTGTCAAAGCCAAAGAACTGAGTTAGACTAAGAAGATCCTTTACTTCAAAGTCCCGTAGTCTTGCAGTCATCCTGAGGCCATTGTCGTGTGCAGACTCAATTAGTCTCAAGCCGAAGACCTTTGGCTGACATCTAGACTCCTGTTCCAACAGGGTATTCAGCTGGTGTAGCAGTTTCTGAGAGTCAGTTGTCAGTACCTCTATCATCTATATATAGAACAAATCCCAGAAAGGAGTGTAAGAGTATATTCCTCCCCAGTTCCTTGGCCTTTGTGCTATGCCAAGAAGTGCTCTGTAATACATGTCCCCCTTCCCTCCACAGGGCTACTGAATCGACAACACTGCAAAGCGCTGTTATTTTTTTCCCCTTTTACAAGCTGTCCATATCTTAAATTGTGAGTTCCTACAGGCCAGGAACCATGCCTTTTTTAAAAACAAATTCCAAGTCTTTGAAGTTATTCATTGTTAACACATTAACTATGAATAGACATTGTAAGACAGAATTCCAAAACTTTGAAATAGGATGGTAATGTCTTCTGACATATAGTAAAATGTGAACCACTTAAGTTAGTTAATGGTTCTTAGTTCCTTATCTCTAAAGTGGGAGTAAGGTCATTACCTATCTGGGAGACTTGTGTGGATTAGGTGAAATCACATAAAGAACTCAGCACGTAGGCAGTGCTTAATAATCACTGGACAATAATACTGAGCTTTTCTCTACATCTGTAAAATGAGGGTAACAGTCTCTGAACTGTTGTGAAGAACACACAAACAACCCCTCGACAGTGGCTCACTTCTGTAATCCTAACTATTTAGAAGGCAGAGATCAGGAGGATAACGGTTCAAAGTCAGCCTGGGAAAACAGTTTGAGCGACCTAGCTCAAAAAAACCCATCACAAAAAAGGGCTGGCACAGTGGCTCAAGTCATACAGTGCTTGCCTAGCAATCGTGAGGCCCTGAGTTTAAACCCCAGTGCTGGAAAAAAAACAACCCCCCCAAACTAAGATTCACGTAAGACTGCAACACACTGCTTCATCACAGTTAACCTAAAGCTACTAAAAAAGCAAGCAAACAAAAAAATATCAAACTTTCGTTACCTAAAGAGCGATAGGGGAGCACATAGGGCCGTCCTGGGGGGAGAGGGGGGGGACCTTCAAGGTGAGCCTGGGAATCTTAATTAATTTTTTTGTTTGGGACTGGGGTTTGAACCCAGGGCTTCGTGCTTGCGAGGCAGGCTCTCGACCTCTGGAGCCACATCTCAAGCGGTCCATCCTGCTCTGGTTACTTTGGAGAGACGGTCTGCGGCACCATTTGCCCAGGCTAGCCTCGAACCGACATCGTCCCGGGCTCAGCCTCCCGAGTAGCTAGGCTTGCAGGCGGCCGGCTGGGACCTGGGAACTTAGTGCAGGCGTGCAGAGCACACCTGCGTCCCGGGCACGAGCTTCCGTGTGCAAACACCCATTTAAACGCAGCCAGCCAGAAGAGCGGGCCAGGCGGGCGGGCGAGCCACCGCGAACTTCAGGGGTGGCCCCGGCTCCGCGCAGGGTCCTCGGGGACACTCGGGAGGTCGCCCCGGCCCCGCCCCTCCGGGCTCGGACTAGCCCGGGCTTGTGTCTGCGCCCGCAGACCCGCAGGACCCGCCCGCTCCCGGGTCAAGCTCCAAATGCAGCTCACCGTGACAGCGACTGCAGCTCCTCAGCGGTGACCACCCTCCCCGGGCCTGCTCTCACCTCGCCCCGCGAGATTAGATATGAAAGGCCTACGCGGCGAGGGGACTCGCAGGCAGGAGTCGGGGGCCCGGGGAGGGGAAGCTGCCTGGCGTGCCGGCCTCCTCAGCTTCAGTCCCGAGCCGAACGGGCCGCGCCCGCCCGCCCTCCCCAGAAATATATGGGAGGGCGGGGCTTACTCCGTGGGCGGAGGCACTTCCGCTGCTGATTGGTGTCGTGCTTTTGATGGATGGCTTCCTTGGTCCAAAGAGGACTGGTCTGTACCGGGAAGAAGCTCGGCCAATCAGCGCACACTTCCCATTATCAAGCGTCAAAGTCTCCGCCTCTTTGAGACCACGCCCCTACCTCTAAAGCGTCTCTCATTGGACAATTTCCCAGACTGTCTTCATTCCAGAACTAAATGCTGTGTGCCAACCCTTGCCCGGGCAGGTCAATCTGCAGCCAGCCAGATTGGCCAGCGTATTACTCCAGAATGCACTGGGAGGTTTTGTTCTGTGCAGTTTTGTAGTTGTACAGTGATCTGCCTCTTGTCTTTCTAAACATACATGACAGGTTAAAAAAAAAAGTCAAGCTTTGATTCTTATTACAAGAGGCGGTAGATTTTCTATGGTGTGGTTTATATACGTTCCGGAGAGTTCTCTTTGTGAGCTTTGGAAATCAGTTGATCTTTGTGCTATTTTGCTTTTTGGGTAACTTATCAGATACCGTAATGGAGTTGGGCTATGCAGTTTCTTGGTCCTGCATCAATCTTATGAATTCACTCTTGAAATTAAAAAGTTGGTGCACTTTTCCCATGGCTTAAAGAGAAAGGTGTGTGACAGCAATACAGGAGAAACCTAAGTGTAGTGCGTGTGCATCTCAGAGCTCAGACTGGGCTGTGAAGTAATGCTTTCCAGTGTATTGCCATGAACTTAATCTCTAAAAACCTGTGTCCCTGCCAGAAAAATAATTAGCCTCACTCTTTCTGGACTCCTTTTTCTCCCAGATTGTCACGGTGAGAAGGGGTTCTTAGTAAAAGAACCTGAGGAATGGTGCAGAAGGCATCAGTTTTCATTTCTTGCAGAAAACTGAACACCGGTAGCTGAACACCTGTTTTCATGGCCTCTTCCTGTGCAGTGGTTTTCTGACCTTTGAAAAAGTGGAAATCTAAAAGATTTTGCTGGACCTCTGCTGTTTGCCTTGCCGTGGAGCCAAGGCCTGAAATGGGGCAGAGGGGTGGAAAGGGGAAAGGAAGCCAGACAAAAAGTACCTGAGAAAAATACCTCAGTCAGGTAATTAGTTCAGTTTTGAGAAACTGGAGCTCAAATGGAGAAGGGACTTTTGTTCCTCTTGAAACCAAACTTCTGTAATGAGTATAAATTATCAATTAAAAACACTTAAAAAGTAATTTTAATTAATATACTTATTACATTAATGTATGAGTTTACAAATTACATGTTTTTGCTTTTAATTTCTATTATTACTAATGTATAAAATTAGGACTATAGTTATACAATGTTAAAAATGGCTTAGAAACCATAAAATCTTTATGGCAATGAAAAGCATGAATGAGTTCATTAGTATTTATTGAACTTATATGTGCCGTTGGAGAAAAAAAACCGGATTGGTTCCTGCCTTTGTGGAACATGTAGTCTTATGGGTAATATAAGTACGTGAACTTTGGAATAAAGTAATTTTCATATCCCGAATGGCTATTTAACTAGCTATGTGACTTTTCTTTGCAAGTTATTTCATTACACTGAGCTTCCATTTTCTTTTCTCAAAAATAGGAAGTAAAAATATCTTACTCATAAGATGATCGACAGTCTTAATTAATGGAAAGTACATAAAAAGATGGAGCACTTCCCAGAAAATAGTAGATTGATTGATGAAAGGGCCTCACATTTGCTGGTGGGTGCTGTACTAGTTGAGCCACTCCACCAGCCCCAACGGTAGACCTTTATTATTAAAATCTAACATTTCTTTTTAAATGTCCTGTTTAAACATATATTTTATTGTGTTTTCTCTGTTGTCAGATTTATTCTTCTATTCTCACCCTAGATGGAGATCCAGAGTACTAGAATTGCTTGACACTAATAAAAATATCTAAATTGTATGCATTAATTTCTACATCTTATTTATAGTTAAAAATTTCACTTGAGAGTTTTAGGTCACACATTATTGTTTAAGGTAAGAAGAATGTTTCTCTCAGATTAGGATCTTATTTTTGTTTTTGTTTTTTTAACATTTCAAATTCCCTAAATGAAAAAAAAATTATTTCACTGGAATGCTTGTATCTCATCACTTGGGAGGCAGGGGCAGGAGGATTGCGAGTTTGAAGCCAGCCTGGGCAACATAGCAAGACCCTTTCCAAACCCCTAATCTGCTCTTAGAGTTCTGCATTAACTATGATTTTATTTTTTAATTTTCATTTATTTATATTTTTGGCAGTACTGGGGTTTGAACTCAGAGGCCTTGCATTTGCTCAGCAAACATGCTACCCCGTGACCCATACCTCCAGTTCTCTATTTTTAAAGAAGGATGGATTTAGTCCTGAGCGCCTATCAGAAATTTTTCAAGTGACTGATTTCAAGGGTATTTTGGGGGCTCCATAATGTGTTCACCACCTAGCTTCATACAGCACCTTCTTCATCAACAATTAAGTGCAATAAGAAACAATGCTCAAAACAGGCTTTGAGGCTGGGCAAGAATCCAGGCAGTAACAGGAAGATTTAATCATACTCTCTAAATCATAGGCTCTTTTAGTGCCTTTGAGCAACACCAATTATAACAAGCAGATGTAACAGTGATGGTGGTATGACAGATGCTGTCCTGACTCATTGGAAAATTGTCAATTGGTTCTAATTGTTTCCATTCTGAAGTTGGAGGAGGCTTGGCCTTCACTCTTGCACACACTATGTCCAAGCATCATACCCTATTCGGGATCCATGAAATCTCCATAACTTTTGGATGTAGGCTTGTCCAACTGTGATGAGGCCCAAGGAAGGGAGGCAAAAAGAGCTGGACCAAGTCCCCTCCCCTCTAGTTCCTGATCCTTCTGTAATTAATTAAAGCCTCATCCATCTCTCTAGTTGTGTTGGAATGAATGTCCTCTGCTTGGACTTTTAGGAACCAACTTCAGAATTTAAAGAGAACACCACAGCTGAATGTGAATTAAGAATGGCCACATGGCACCAGAGTGAAGATTGGAGAGAAGGGCCCAACAGTGGAGCAAGAAGAGATGTTAAGAGGATATTGGATTAACTCAGGAAGAAGTGAGAATGCGGAACCAAGGGAGTGAGGGTGGGTGAGAAATAGGTGGGTACCAGGGACCTTAGGAGGTTGAGCTGATGGAAATCAGAAAGAAGGAGGAGTAAGGAATATGACAAAGTTTTAGTTTAAACCAAAGGCTGAATAAGCGTTGCATTTAGGTATTTATCAGGGAATATAGGAAAAAGGCCAGGCTTGAAGAATGAGAGGGAAAGGGTATTTTGAACTCCAGATGCCAGAAGTATTTCCAGGTAGAACTTAACAGAAAGCTGCTAGAGAAACATTTGGTGCCAAAAATAGTTTGGGGACTGAACAGAATATAGGGAAATGATTTGAATCATGGAAATAGATCAGTTAGAGAGAGTTGAAGGTGCTAAGTCTGAAGAGAGAATCTAGGGAAGAGGAATCTTTGAAGTGATCTAGAAGGAGAGGAGAGGGATGAAAGAGGGAAATCAGAAGAGAGCATTTTTACAGGAAGCAGGGGAAAGTGTTTCAGGTAAAAACAAGCACAGTATTTGATGCTGCAGAAAGGAAAAAAGTGAAGTATGAACAAGATAGAAAGAAAAATGAACCAATGACTTGAGTTCTTGTAAGGAATTTGACTGTAAAGGGTAGACATTGTTGATAAAAGAGATATTTTGCTTTTCAAAGATGAGCTAGATCTGTGTTTGTTTACATAATATCAGGAAGACATGCCTCAAGTGTAGAGTACTCGCCTAGCAAGCACCAGGCCCTGATCTCAATCCCCAGTACTGCCTAATGCTGCTGCTGCTGCTTCTGAAATAATTCCAGGAAAGAGCTAGCGGAGAAAGCAGAGTATCTGACTAATGGAACAACAATCTGAGGCCTCGTGTAACACTATTTGATTTAATAGCCCCCAGTCAATTTATACTCTAGTAAGTTGCTCTATTATAAAAGCTTCTAGTCAAAACTACAGACTACAATGGAAGCAAGGAACACAAAAGAACAGAAATTCTATGTATTTAGTATGCTTAAAAGTCTCTGGATAGACATTACGAAATATCACCAATTGCTTTATAAATGTTTATGTTTCCTGTAGCTATTTTAAATGCATAATTTCCAGCATCAAATCATTCAAAGAATTCTTCTTGATTTAAAATATTTTTACTTGAAAAGGGAACCCTTACACACTGTTGGTGGGAATGTAAATTAGCATAGCCATATGGAAAATAGTATAGGCTCCACAAAAAATTAAAAATAGAACTGCCATATGATCCAGCAATACCACTCTTAGGTCCTAACTGTATTCAAAGGAAGTTAAATCAGTGTGTTGAAGAGACATCTGCACTTCCATGTTTGCTGCAACACTATTTGAAATAGACAAGAAATCAACTCTACCTAAGTGTCCATCAATTGAGGAGTGGATAAAGAAAATGTGGTACATATAGACAATGGGACAGTATTCTGCCTCAAAAAAGATGAAATCCTGTCATTTATGACAACATGGATGAAACTGGTGGTTGTTATGTTAAATGACACAGAAAGGCAAATAGCACATGATCTCTCTCATATGTGGAATCTAAAAAAGGTGAGCTCAGAGAAGTTGAAAATGGAATAATAGTTACCAGAAGGTTGGTCAATGGGTGCTATGTTACAGTTAGATAGGAGGAGTAAGTTCTGATGTGCTTTCGCATGGTAAGATGACTATAGATACTCTTGTGCAGTAAGGTGACTATAGATAACAAAAATGATAATACACTGTATGTAATGAATATTTTTAAAAAGCTACAAGAAATGTTTCTAATATTTTCAAAACAAAGAAATCACAAATATTGGAGAGGATAGTAGTTATTTCCTCCTATGTGAACGTTACACAAATATACACATACAAAGTATCACAGTGTACC